TAACATTTCACAATATAGGTAATTGATAAGGAAATTTGATCAAAACAAAACACTTGACATGTCTCAGCATTATGCTCAAATCCTTAATCCTCATTACAAAATGCTCAGTGGACAAACAGAAAATGCATGGATTTTCCTGTCAACTCAACTTATATATTACGATGTTCTCGACACAATTTATTTCTCTGCCTAGGAATTAGATGATATTCATGTTACAATTCTGCATAAAGAAGAAAACACTGGGCTTGGATTCAGTCTGGCAGGTGGCATAGATCTAGAAAACAAAGTGATAACAGTAAGTAGTATCTTTCTCAAAAAATACTCTGGAAACAACTACTCTCTCTAAAAATACATATAACTTTCTGGTTTCCTACTACCAAGGCCGGCTTTTGGCATAATTAAAGTAAGCAGCTGTTTACATAGGGTCAGAAAAATCTTGGTTGTGAGTGAGAATGCACAGAGCTGTCATCTCCAGGTAATTATTAGCAGAAGTGTCCTGTTTCGTTGGGTATTACCCTCCCACCCAACAGTTCTTAAAGCCAACAGCCCTCAACAGCAGGAAGCAACCACTTGGCAAAGAATGGAAAATACACACAGTGAAAACTATTAACTGAATAATTTCTTTTTTTTTCTTTTCTCTTTTCTTGTGTGCCTGTGTGGTAATGGGGCTTTTCAATAGGTTCACAAGGTGTTTCCCAATGGACTAGCATTTCAGGAAGGAACTATTCAGAAAGGAGATGAAGTACTATCCATTAATGGAAAGTCTTTTAAAGGGGCAACTCACAACGATGCCTCAGTGATCATGCGACAAGCTCGACAACCCAGACAAGCTGTAGTTGTCATTAGAAAAGCAAAAGATGGAGAAAAAAGTCACAACGTTTCAATTGGCTCTAGCACATCTTCAGTTGCAAGCGATGTCTCACAAGAATCAGGTAAGTTCAGCAGCACTACCTCACAGCTGCTACCTGCTCAGTGTTTAATTAGTGTTTGATTTAATCAGTGTTTGACAGGACGAGAGTAATGGCCTTGAGTCAGAGGAGGTTCAGGTTGGATATTAGGAACAATTTCTTCTCACAAAGAGTGGTATTGGAACAGGCTGCCCAGGGAGGTGGTGGAGTAATGATCCCTGGGGGTTTTCAGGAGTAGGGCAGACACTGCACTGAGTGACGTGGTCTAGAGCAGACACAGGCATGGCTGATGGCTGGACTTGATGATCTTACTGGTCTTTCTAACCTTGGTGATTCTGTGATTCTAATATCGTCGCCTGAAACCATGGGTACTAATGGAGCTGCTCAGCATCGGCTGGGCGAATTGAGAATTGTGATCAAGGACAGCACAGTTTGTGAAACACTCCTGAAAGAGGTATTTGGGATAGCTTTGGAAAGAATTAATGCATTTCTGAAATAAATGAACCCTCTGAAAAAAATCAGACCAAACCAAACCAGGAAACAACTGTGAGATCCTCAGTGTGAATTTCTGAAATGTAAATACTGTTATTCTAGTAACAGGCCTAACTGCAGTTAAAATGAAAATTCAGTTTCTGAATTCTGAAAATTCAGATTCTGGATTCTGATATTATGATTTCTAATTTGAAGTTTTTACTATGCAAGACTATTTTTCTTTGTGAAAGAGTTACTGGTTTAAACAACATGCTAGTGATTGAGGTAGCAGGTGGCTATATCCACAACACATGGGCAGATTAAATTGCAGCTTTTTGGTTAATAAGAATTTCAAATCTAATGTCAAATCAAGTATGCTTACTGCAAATTTTGTTCACTGAACAGATTTTTTTAGTTCTAGAAAATATCACTCTTTCATTTTTAAATTTCTATTCTGCTATGGGTTCAAACACAACATTCTCTCTCCAGCTTCCCAAAGGGCTGTACAATCACAAAGTGAGAAATTAAAAGCTGCCATCTCAATTTGGCTGTTTGCCTTTGCAAACAGAACAGAAGCTCATTTCTTTTATCAGATCTTGCAGTTTTCCAGGTATTTTTGTGCCCACCTGCTAACTTTCCATTTATTTCCAGCAAGTGAAGATGCAATCTGCACTGTAACTCTAGAAAAATCAGCTGCTGGTTTGGGATTCAGTCTGGAAGGTGGGAAGGGCTCTATTCATGGAGATAAACCCATCATCATCAACAGGATATTTAAAGGTAAAAACACTTCAGTGTCTGGCTGGCAGGTTCTTTGTTGATAAAAAGTAGCGTAGTTCATAACTGACTGCTGATTTATACTTATTAAAAGAGATTTTTGGTAAATGCAGCATTATCCCATGCAATGCAAGTAGTTTTTGCCTCCTGGGAACAGCTGACTTATACCAAACACGGTAGTGAACCCTAATGAATGAAAGACTAACTAAAAACTCCCCCACAGAGAAAATTCTTACTATTTTTCTTCCTTCCTCTACAGGAACCTCACTGGAGCAAAGCAGCCCAGTTCAGCCTGGTGATGAGCTATTACAAGTGCACACCACAGCCTTGCAAGGACTCACTCGTTTTGAAGCGTGGAATATAATCAAGGCATTACCTGATGGGCCCATCACAGCTATCATCAAAAGAAAGAATCCAAGCTCTGTTACCAAGAAGGCATCAGAAACTTTATAAGAGGAGTAATTAGACTACTGCCAATACTACATACAAAAAGAGATGGTGTGGTTTATCACTTACAGACATCTGGCTAGCATGGCGTGGTACTCTGTATATGGAACTTTACTGCCTGTTAGAGACAGCTGTTTGGGTTAAAATGAGAAGATGTGAAAACGTACATGATTACTATTTCAGAAAATTGTTTCAGTGTCAAATAATAACAAAAAATGACTTTATAAATAATATACTGGTTGTAATAAGATGTGGAAGCGATAGTACTCTTATTTTAAGCCATTCTCTTAAAGACTGAGAGCACATCCTGCAACAAAGTGTTCACTTCTGCTTTACTAGTTTTGCTTGCCGCTTTATCTTCCCAAGAGGAGGGAATGTGCACACCCCCAATGAAAGACAGTAACACAGCATCTGTGAAACGCAGAGGAAGCAGGATGCAACTTAGTCCTTCAAAAATACAGCATGCCCTGAAAAACTCCAACGTTTCTATTCAAACTGAAGAACAGCCTAAAACTGACTAGGATAGCTTTCTATTAGCAGCTGAAAGAGCTGTGTTGACTCAAGCACCCGAACTAGGGACAAAATAAAAATAAAGGGAGCATCTCATAGTATTGCTAGGATGAAGCAGGAAGCTGAGGGCAATAGAATGAAGATTCTTCTGACATTCCTTTGGTCAGAGATCTTATGGGACCAGAGTCAAGAACAGCAAGGCCATCTAGAAACAAGAATGCACATTACTTTTAAATACCTTTGTATAACTTTTGTAAGGAAAAGTGTCAGTATTTAGAAATTCAGCCTTCTGAATTCAAACTTTTACTCTGAAAACACTAATTTGGACACAAAACTACGCAGCAAATGCTGCTGCATGTATTCTGGCACCACTTTCCATATGCTGTATAGAGTTCCACGAGAACAGAATGCCTCAGATTACCTCAGTGTCATTTGCCAAAGGTGTCCTCACCCAAAACAATTTAAAAACTGACACAGAACCACCAAGGTCAGTTGGATCTTTTTTTTCTCCCTCTTCCAACAGTGCTTTTCTTACCTCACTTTCAGTGTTTTCTTTTGCCTCTGTTTCCTGTCATCTGTCAGGATCAAAAGAAGTGCAAACACTGTCAGAAGCAGCACATCTCACTGGAGGCACTCCAAGATCTTACAGGATGATCTTTGCTAAGACATTTGCATCTCTGATTTGGCATGGCAGAAGGATGAATGTTAAGTGCTCTTAATTGCTTCTGGATAGAACACATTGAGCACTCAGAAAAAGCAGCCTGAAGTTATTTTAATGAAAAGCCTCAACCACCACCTTTGTTGTTCAGAGTAGTATAAAAATATAACAAATATTTAAAAAGAACTAATTAAAAAATCCCACTATCTGCAAAAGGTTTAATTGCAGGAACAGCAAGTGGTGACTTGAGCTCCATTCACTGAACCTTCTGAAAATTAAATTAACCACAATCTTGCAAAGACTTGCCCAGTTACTTAACATGAGGCCTGATACTAAAACCTGCAACACATTTAGGGAAGTAAGTATGAGCCTCTGTAATGTCAGGGCCCATCTCTCTCCTCATTGAATTTGTTACCTTTCTTTAAGCACAGAAAGCAGCAAACTAAATAGGAAACAAGGACCAACCACAGACAAAGAAGTCAAGAATGAGAGCCCTCACCAAAACATTATATCCCCACTTAGTGGGGACTGCAAATTAAAGGGAAGGCTGTTTGCTGTCTCGCTGCACTGAATTCTGAGAAATGCTGGAGATCCAAGCAGTGCTTCAAGGTACCCTGTGAAGGGGTAGGAGGAACAATTTTAAACAGAAAGAGGAAGATATAGCAGGAAAGACACCAAGGTACAGCAGAAAAAAATATTTATTTCATCACCCTCATAGAAGTTTTTACATCTTTGTACATAAAAAGGACTGAATTAAAAACTGCTTCCCTAAAAAAATCTATTCCACAAAGTGAGAATTACAGTAGAACACTTTGTATGCAAACCTATGCCCCACACCAACATAAAACAAATACACGGATAAAAAGCAGAGCATATTAACTTTGTTAAATAACCAAGTTAAAGCATTAAAATCACAACCCACCAATTGCTAATACAGTAATTAATTTTCCTTTTGTAATTCTATGTAACCCATAGCAATGTCTGACATCCCCATGGTAACCAGCACCGTACATATTTTTAAAAGCTGCACATATCACAACACGCTTGATCAGGAGCTGATTTCCTAAGTCAGTGCTGTCAGGTAAGTATTAAAGAGATGTCCTTACGGCCTGCCAAGTCATGACTGAGCTTCAGAAATGACTGTTTACCTGTTGAGACCTCTCACTACAAGAAGCTGAAAAGCGTTTGAAATACCTGAGTATTTCAAGTGCAGTTAAAAAAAACAAGGCAAGTAAAGTGCTTAATCCTCTTTATTTATTGCCACTCTATCAGCGCAGTTTGGTTTGACGCTGTGGAAATGACTGTCATGGTACAGAGGGGAAGAAAGAAAAGTGTCTACAGGCCAACCCACAGACCTATTAATTGATTTGCATTGCTAGACTTTGATTTAGGAAAAGCAGCACTTAACTTGTATTTACCACAAATATCTATGTCTGTGGGAACAAACAAGTGGGATCCTACACACAATCCAATTCATTCTGACTTTTCTGAAACATCCTAGCAGCTCTGTGAGGGCTGGCATCAGAAGAGCCACCTATTTGTTAAGGAACACTGTTCCATGGGAGTCTGCACAGAGCTTCAGAGAAACTCTGTTTCGCTTGCACCTGACTAATGCTGGTAGAGTGGATTTTATGCTATAATCATAGTCTCTGATGAAGAACAGATCTAGTATACTTGTCTCCCACACAAAGCCAGCAGTGCTGCCTGCAGGATTCTTCTTGCCTCTGGTGTGATATCTTCTAATTATAGAAATGAAGGATATCCTATAAGAAAAGTATGCATTACTTTGAACAATTTCACGTTTACCGAGGATCTTTGTCAGCAGAAAAGTGTTACAGGCCAACTTCCTACTTCTCATGATCACTACCCTCAAACTGCCAGTTCATTTCCTACGCTCAGCTGGTGATGTCAGCATTTGGTCTCATCATGCTTTTAATGCCTTAACAGCTTTGGTCAGATTGCTGTAAAACCCAGCTATGTTAGCTGGAAAGAAAGAATCCACGACAGTCTGGGGAAGATAGCCACCAAGATCGGTCTGAAAGAAACTGAGGAGCTGAGTCCTGTCTGGTTCCCTGAAAGACAATGCAAATGATTTTATAGCCAGAGGTTTGGAAACATTAAGGACTTTACAATGACTCTCATATATGAACTATGTGATGATAGATACTTCTAAGTTAGTTTTTTTAAACAAACAACAGACATTAATTTTAAATTTCTATAAATGTGTGTGTCAAATTACAATTAAGCTAGGCCCTAATTGAGTACGTGATTCTGCTTACAAATTATGGCAGTATAACAAACAGCTAGATACACATTTACCAAAATTAAGACCATAACCTATGCTCTGCTGAATCTCCATTTAAGAGGTCAGCAAGAATTGTGACAACAGTTCTTGTAACATTCAGAACTTCTCTCAAAGAAGAGAACTAACTCACAGCATAAAAGAGAACAGAATAGGCACTCAGTCATAACAATTACATGTCACAGGAAGATAGAAACATGTCATTGCCAAGGAACTACACATTGCAGATAGCCACATACACACAAACACGCTGCACAATGGGTAAGAAAGGGTTCAAAATACAGTGGTCAAATAGATCTCTTCTTACCCTGGAATTGGTATGCAGAAGCAGCCACAGGGATAATTATACCCTCTCACAAAATTTGCTTGAGGGGGACACAGTGGGTGTTCCACATTGGTAGCTATAAGAAAAAGCATTCAAGAATTATGTCATTTACACAGGAGATGGGAAAGAGTCCTTTGTACTCAAAGCAGCAGCTGAGAAGCACGTTCACTCTAAGAAAACATATTTGAAAAGAATAAGCAGCATAATGCTCCTATTACTGGGCTGCATCATACAAGCACAGAAACAACCATTAAAGTAGAAACTGCTCTGGCTGCTGACATGAGAAATCAAAGAAGTGTTACATTCAGAAGTAACTGTTGCTGAGCTCTGAACCAAGCATCAGGATGCCCTGAGAGAGTGTTAATGAAACTGCACTGCCTAAGTGCATTGCTGATCTCTGGGTTTCAACCAAGTTGCTTCCAACAAATCCATAGCACAGAGGTATAGACCACTTGACTGCTAAGAAGCAGCACTCCAGCAGGTATTAAAATTTCTGGCTAACCATTCCTGGATAGCAGGGGAAAATTGGGCAGCTGAGTGAAGAAGCAATAAAAGCAGTGATTTGCAGCAGGCAAACAATTGTGTGAAGATGAAAAAAAAAACAAACTACAAAAGAATATGACTTATGCCTAAGAACAATGCAAAGAGACAACAAATATTTTATCCTTTAATCAAGATTACAACACAAACATAAGCATCTTACCAGCAGATAGCATCGTCCCATCCTCATATTGCCTCATTAAGATCACATCCACAAATTCTCTTGGTGAAATAATCTTCATGAAAGCTGAAGGGGTTGTAGTTCTGCATACAGAGACAGCCTGGAAATTACAAAGGACTTTACATCAGTTGATGTTTCCAAAAGTACAGCATAAATATCCCTGTGCTTTCTTGTACTCTTTCAGTTACACTTGATGAACTTATGAAGGAGTTACATTACACTGTTCACTGAAAAAAAAAAAAAAAAAAAAAGCAAATCAGCACAGGCAAAAGGCACTGTGGTATGCTAATTAAATTATTTAATGAAGGAAAACACACCAACGTTGCATTGATCCCAGGTTGTTTAAGGAAAGATGCCACAAAAGATGCTGAAAAGCAGATCTGGCACACATGTGCTCAGTGGACAATTAACACACTACTCTTTTTCAGGACTTTCATGAAGATATCTTCTCTGTAACACATCGCTTAAGAAAGCAACTTGATACCCAGATTCTGTGCTGCAGAAACCTTCATATTTCCAGTAACTAAAAGAGGGGAAATTTAGATTAGATGTTAGGATGAAATTCTTTACTCAGAGAGCAGCGATGGCTGGGTGCAGCTGCCCAGAGCTGTGGGTGCCCCATCCCTGGAGGTGTTCCAGGCCAAGCTGGATGGGGCTGTGGGCAGCCTGAGCTGGTGGGGGCACATAGCCCATGGCAGGGGGGTGGAGCTGGGTGGGCTGTAAAGTCACTTCTGACCGAAGCCACTCCGTGATTCTCTAAACATCTGTGAGGGAACAGGAAAGACTGCTAACAGAGATTCAGCTTGCCTCAATTTGCAGCGGTAACACTGTAGTGCAAGATCTTCAGTGATATAAGTTTACTTATCTTTAAAATACATCGTATTTAGCCCAAAACATAAAGCAGCTCCTTTCAGAAAGACAGCCCTTCAAGAGAACAGATACAATCTACTCCCGTAACGGTACGGAGGGGCACGGATCCCCCATCCCAGCACACCGCAGCCCTTTCCCCACAAGCGACGTCGGCTGTTTCGTAAGCGGCACAAACAGGAACGCCGAGTCCCCAAACCCACGCTCAGCACTCACATCGCTGACGGCCTCCACCACCTCGAAGTCCTTCACGTTCTGGTCCCACTGGGTCCTGAGCCCTCCGGCCACCGGCTTGATGCACTCCCAGACCTGCTGCGGGCGGGCGGCCACGGTGCCCTCGGCGCGGTACCTGAGGCGAGGCGAAACGAAACCGAACGCGCTGCCGCTCTCGCCTCGCCCCGACCCCGCTTCCTTCCGCTAAGCTCACTTACACGTTGCCGGCGAACTCGGCGGACGGCCTCCAGGACACCGCGACCTCGTTCTGCGGGCAGGGAGAGCCGTCAGCCGCCCCGCCGGCCCGACCGCCCCACGGCCCCGACCGCCCCGCATCCCCCGGCGCTCACCGTGCGGCGGCAGCTCCGCCAGCCGTCCGCGTCCCGCCGGTACAGCCCCATCTTGTCAGCCGCCGACTCTGCGAGCCCCGCGTAGTCCATGGTCAGGGAGGGCGGGGCAGCCGCTCGCACACCGCCTATGAGGCGCCGCGCTGCGCCGCCCCCGTGGGCCGATGGCGGCACCTCCTCCTCACCTGAGGGCTGCGACATCCCGGCGTGGCGCGGCGGAGGGTTAACTGCATGGACTTCCAGCCTCCATAGGCAACGAGTAGGAGACCTGGGATAGAAAGGATCGGAACACGGCTCTGCCGAAAAAGGCTTGGCGGTGCTTCTGGATGGCAGCTGGGCGTGAGCCAGCGACGTGCCCGCGCAGTCCGGAAAGCCAAGCGTGTCCTGGGCTGCATCCAAAGCACCGCTGTCAGCTTGGCGAGGGAGAGGATTTGCCCCTCCGTTCTGCAGTGTGAGATCTCACCTGGAGTACCGTGTTCAGATCTGGAGTTCTTAGTAGAGGAGAGACGTGAACCTGCCAGAGCACATCAAGAGGAGAGCCACAAAAATGACCCAAGGCATGGAACACCTCTAAAAGGACAGACTGAGAGCTGGGGCTGTGCAGCCCGGGTTGTGGGAAGACCTTAGAGCAGTCTGTCAGAACCTAAAGGGGCTGTAAGAAAGAGGGGACACTCTTTAGCAGGGTCTGTTGTGATAAAGCAATGGGAAATGGTTTCTGACTAAAAGAGGGGAGATTTAGACTGGACGTAAAGAAGTTTTTTTATAATAAGGGCAGTGAGGCACTGGCACAGGTTGCCCAGAGAGGTGCTGGGTGCCCCATCCCTACAGACACTGCAGGTCAGGCTGGACGGGGCTCTGAGCACCTGATCAGCTGTAGGTGTTCCTGTTCAGTGCAGGGCAGTGGGACCAGATGGCCTTGAAGGGTCCCTTCCAACTCAATTCTTTGATTCCGTACTTCAGGGAGCAGTTCTGCGCTTGTAGGATGGTGGTTACCTGCTGCATGGATTCAGTGGGAGCATGTTTCTGCAATCACATCAGAGAACCTTGTCTGATGTACTTCTATACAGGTTTAATTCAAGTGCTCCAAGTACACTGCTTTTGATTTTCCAATAGTTGTTTTTTTTTTTTTTTTTTTTTTTAAAACAGCATAACATGTAATAAAGGCGAATGATGTCGAAGCGAGGTACAGTTAACAGTAAAACACAGGACTAACTATGCTTTTCCCACCTTGAATGGCTGACTGGTAGTTATTCTAATAGACCTCAAACAGCAAGTACAATGACTGCACAAACCTGTTCTAAACACAAAAAGTTGGGGCACTTTCTCAGACATTTGAGCATACCAGTTCATTAGGCTCAGACATGTTTAGTTCAGTATTGTTTTTTGATTTCTTTTTGGTGAGTTTTGTCCCAGGTTTCAGGTACTTTTCCTTGCTATGAATGACCTGGATGTATTGGTCATTGCTGCTGTTCTGCGGATCACTGCTCGATTCAATGGAAACGGAATCAGATTCTGTTAGAGACTGCTCCAGTATATGCTTCATTTTAGGTTTCACATGTGGCTCAAGATAGTGCTGATCAACATTTTTCAGGTGCACTTTTTTGTAGGCATACGGAGGTCTGTCCAGGTCTAGCTCAAAACCATCATCCCAGGATTTGTAATGCACTTTAGCTAGGTCTTTGCTCGTAAGAACATGGCCATCAGCACGCTCCCCAATATAAAATCGCGGTGCTGGGCGAAGGTCAGACAGTGACCGAGGGCGATGGGATCTTTTCACGTAGCGTCTCCCAAATTCCTCTTCATCCTCCTCATCTTCACTGGGATGAGGAGAATACATGCGTTGTGGTGTTTGAACCACGTATCTTCTGATATTGTGCGGATACAACTCAACAATATCTTCTGGCTCTTCTATTCGGAATTGCCTTTGGAGTCGGGAGGTAGAACGGGCTGATTTTTTACGGGGTTCACTTTCATTAACAACATAGTATCTGGTAGCATGTGGTCTGCGTCCCACAAAAACAGGAGCCCCCGCTCCAAAAGCATCTGGATTTACCTGCCGAATGCTTTTCCTAAAGAGAGGCTCAGAGTGAACATCCTCAGTACGTTTTTTGAAAGCCACTGGTGTATAGGCCTTTGTTTTACAGAGCTCACTTGCACTCCCATGCACAACACTTGGGTACCTTTAGGAAAAAAATAAAAAAAAAAAGGGAAGGAAATGTTAGGAGATATGTTTACCAGTATAATTAAAACGGAAGATATTCAGAGTGTTACCGGCATTCTGAATAGTATCTACAAATGATTCTGCTTTTAAAAAATTCCCCAAGCTGTTGTACAAAACCAGTCTTGCCTGCTAGTGGTATGGTCGTTTCTTGCTTTCTGTACACTTGATACTGAGGGCGTTAAAGAAGCTGAAGTTGTGGGAGTTGCATTCACAGGTCTTGCTGCATCAGTCGAGGGCACGGTGTGGGGCACAGTCTGGGAGATGGTTTGTATTCTGGTGCCTTTGCTCACAGGAGATTCAAAGTTCAAGACACTGCCATTCTTCCGTGGGGTTGAGGCCCGAACAGAAGACTCCTGGCTAATAAGACCACCGTCTTGGTCTGGTCTTTTGTCACTCCCATCCAGATTCTGGAATCTGGCTAGAAAACAGAATTTATCACAGGAACTCTCCAGGCCTCTAAATTTAGAAGCTGTGTAAATGCACTGGCTCAAATCTACCCAAAGGTCAGAGAATCTGATGTAGTTTCCCATGTCTAAAATCTGAGAGGTAAAAGGTGTAGGCACAAATCCCCTCAGGCACAGTAGATGATTAAGTCTGAAATCTCTTCAATGCAGATGAGATGTTTAACTTAGAGAGGTAAAGGAGCCATTCCCTTTTCCCCTCTTCTGCTTACTACCCTCTGAATTTTGAGTAAAATCTGACATGATTTAATCATCAGGAATGTCTACTAGGTTCTGTCCTGTGGGTGGTAAAAGCAAGAAAATACCCAGCACAGAGATCTCAGCGGGCTTTAGGTGTAAACTACATGCCTTGGCTTTCAGTGCTGCCAAGATTAAGTCAAGCTGGGCTTAAAAACCATCTAAAAGTATGACTACACAGGAAACATGTGTTTTGTTTTGTTTTTAATACAGTTGAACCTCCCTATGTGTATGAGAAATAAAAATATCTTCACGTCCAAATCCCTTATTAATAGTGGAATTTCCTAAGCTCAACAACTTACCTACTGCCATTTGCACCACCTTTTTCTTATCTTCAGTTCTTTCCTAAAACGCATTCAGGAAAGTGAGAAGGTTATTTTGGATTAGAAAGTAAATCCAATACTGCATACAGATAACAAAGGCAGGATGGATTTACATTGTGAAATATTGAAAATGACATTAATTAGGCTAGCACTTCCCTGAAAACCCACCAATATGTATGTGAAAGTACTTTGAGCTGTACTTACTGCTTGTATCTTCATTCTCAGCTGATTGTTGGTGAATTTCAATGATCTTGCAATACTTTGTAGGTAATAGATCAGCATGCTAGAAGTGAAAGAGGTGATTATGAGTCACATTAAACACTCTTGACTGTTTTCCCTTTAAAGGTTTGTGAGTCATCAAAATGGCAAAGTCAGTCCTTGTGTTCCAGCATTTCCTTTATACTGTGATAATGGATCATACCTTTCATTCAGGCAAGCATACATGGAAGTTTAACAAATAAGTGATACTGAAAACAGATTTAACTACAGGTTGAATTGTGCCTGTGCTTTTTGCAAGTCTTTTTATTATGCATGTAGCCCTGTGTGCATTTCTAGCTTATTCTGTTTCAGTTCCAGACACACTCAAAATGAAAATTGTGATAGATGCTTTCTCCCCCCACTTTTTTTCTTTTTTCTTTTTTTTCACCCCAAGGTTACTGAACTACAGCTAAACTATAAGCTCATTCCACTGTCATTTTGTTGGCTGGCTGGAATAACACCTTGTTACAATAACACTGACCCAGCTGACATCAGATCTAGCCTGACAATGGCTTTCAAATGAAACAGACTTATGGCTGAACTAGATAACATAAACATTTATGTAGGTACTCAGTCATCAGTTTGAAGCAGTCAGTAAATTTGCGTGGATTTCTAAATATGACAGAGGAAAAAGATACAAATAGTAAATACTGCTTTAAGTCCTTTCAATTAATCTAAAAACCAAGCTGGTAAGACAAACTGCGCTCATCTGTTTATGGAGCAAAAATGATAGAAAGGCACCTGCAAAGCAAATGATACTTTACAGAAGCAAAGTGAATTTCCAACAGCTCAAAGTAAATATTAATTCCCAGCTGTGAACAATTATTTAGAGTCTGGCATAAGAAAGGACTTCCACTGGATAGTCTGCAGGAAGCTGTATTACATTAACACTTAAGAGCAGACCTTCATAACTGATTTATCTTGTCAGGGATCAGTGTGACTGGGTAGCTTCTTTCAATGATACGCCTGTGAACAGAGTTCAGTCTAAGCAGAACTAATCGCCCTGAGGAAATGGAAAATTATCTTCTGAGGTGCTCTTGAGTGGGAAGAAGGATCTTAAAACTTCTTGGAGCCAAGAGCATTGTAAGCTTTGACACAACAGAATGGACTTCCTTTAACACAGGGTCCAACCTCCTTTAGCACAGAAGCAGCTTTTTGAAAATAGGGTGACGGTATTTTCAACATACTCTCATTCCCATCTGATGCTTATACCATACATTCAGTAACACTGTTTTTTTTCTTTGTATATGCTTAATAATGTTACAGTTCCTCAGTATCAACATGCGACTGTCTAGAGATGAAGTTAGTACTAACACAGTGGAGTTAAATTTGCTATGAGAAACAAAGTACTTACAATAGAAGTAAGAGCGCAGGGAGGACCACCACAGGACTGCTGATGTAAGTAACCACTGAGTTGAACCATACAGGAAAATCATTTTTAATTGTTTCAGAAACAATATCATATATTTTGTCTTGTCCACTACAGGGAAAGAAAAAATAAAATTAAATCATAAAAAAATCCTTGGTGTGTCCACTTTTTAAGCAGCGCTGCACTGAATAATAATAAAAAAATTAATCTAAGACCACTTATATACACTATACTGAAGGAAAAAAAAAAAAAAAAAGCAAAAACAAAAGCTAAAGGCTACTTGTTCATTACTTACATTTTAAACAAATTTGCAAGAGTGCAAAAGCACTGACCAGGCTTGAAGGGTACCAATATGTGATAAATTTCTTCATGGCACACTGCATCATTTAAATATGAACTAGTGGAACCATGTATATAAAGCAAAACACGTAACCTCATTTAGGATGATGAGGTATTCAACTAATTAATTCTTAAACTGGAAAACATGGGCAGCAGGAAAGCATTGCCCCATCCAAAAACTACAATTTATTGATAATTTGGGTATTGTTGAACCTGATTAACTAATTGAGGGTGAAATAAAATCATTGCCATTTTCATTAGTCTGTTATAACTTACCTGAAAGGACCACAGGTTAACGATGGCTTGTATCGGGCAATAGCAAAAATTGTTGGTAACATGCACAAAAACAACATGAACAGCAACATGGCCAAGTAGAAATTATTGGATCTGCAAGAAGGCATAAATGTTTCAGATTACCCTAATCAGGGAGAAAAACAGAAGCAACATGAAAGATGCAAGTCTTCATCTACCTAACAAGTTCAAGATTACGTTTCTGAAAGATCAAAATCATTCTGTTCCGATTAAAAAGTCTGAACAGAGCCACTTTAAATAGACCCTTAATGGTCACAATTTTATTTGTACTGCTTTCCAGATACTGCTGCTACAGTCAGAGAACTGTTTATAGCACTGTTCTATAAAAACTCACTTGACTGTCCAGATTTGTTAGGGAAAATAAGAAAAAAGAAGCAGAATTTGATTCATCTTCAAAACATATTAGAAATAACTGATTCCTAAGATGTAAAGATGCCCTAAATTATTTCAGTTTGAAAAAATAATTCTTATATTCATCCTGATAGTATAAAAAGGGGAAGTTCTATTGTGTGATGCAGCAGATAAAATAGGATACTTAATGGTTTTCATAAAAAGAAACACCAAGATACAGAACTTGCAGTGATTTACACATGGAGCTTATTGCGCTTAATCAGATTGGTATGGAAATAAATGATCTCTGTGAGGCCACATTTCCTGGTCTGGGAATATTCTGTGACATATTATTTAGTTTGATTTCTGTTTATCCCCTAACTTTCACAATAAAAATACTTTTGATGGTACTGCTTGATTTCCTCTGTGAAATGCCAAGTTTGCTACGAGTCCTTCTGCCCCGCATACTGCCATTGAAACTCATACCTTCCCTTTTCGGAGAGAATATCTAGATGTTTTCAGTACAATCACAAACCAGCTTTGGGCAATTCGATCCCACTTGAGTCTCTTTTGTGTGTATCTAAGTACCCTGCTGTAACTCCAAATTCTCCAGTTTCTTGGTAACTAATTTTTTTTCTTCACAGGCCTTTGATATCTGTCCATTTTGATTGTCAATTTTCAGAACAAAAAGCTCCTTTTGTTTTGTTTCTGCACACAGAAGACATTTCCATTGACTGCGTTGCATTTATTCTTTATCTTACATTCTTATTTGGACTAACCGAGAGGCTCTGAAAACCTGCTGATGTGGTACATTGCACGTTAATACAGCCCAGCTCCTCAGGTACATGAGTCCAATCAACTTGAGGACATTGAATGCCGGTAAACAAGGTGAAAAGAAGGCTCCCATCCTGGAAGAACAATGTCATGTCAGTGCTCAGTGTTGCCACAGCAATTTTAACAGCAAAGCATTGCATGAAAAGAACAGGTAAGCAACAAGTCACTAGCAACAGACAAATTCTTAATACAATAAAGTGTAAGAGAATGCATTGCTAGTATCTTGCTGGAATACATTTCATTGAGAACTGTCATACTTGGCAATCAATCAGATCACTTGTGGATTACATACCAGATCATTCCTTGATTGTAGACCAAATGCAGTACATTCTCTGCAATTTTGAATTCACCATATTCTGGCTACAAGAAACAGAGTGTAGGATAAATATTTCACTTTACTCTTACTTTTTTTTTCTGGATCACTTATTAGAATCGTTTGGCTGACTCCATTTTCAGACAGCACATGGCCTGAAATGTCTGGATCAAATACCACCTTCTGGCAGACAGTGAGAACCCAGTAAAACCTACTTAGTATCAGGGGATTCGATAAACTAATTCATCTCTAGTTTACTTTGTTTACTTAAGGACAAGGAACAGACTTAGCCTTTCATGCCTACAGCTGCTTGCTAACCAAATACTACAGTAATTTCCTTCCTTCTTGGATCACTGTCTCTATTATGGACAGTTGTTACAGCTAAGAAAGGAGGATATGGGATGCAACATGTTCCCTCTGTTTTTCTAAAGACCAACAAATTACTCATCATTTTCTATGGGATTGTTCCATAATCTCATTTTGGGAAAGACAAAAGTCTGTGCACCACAGCCATGGGAGTAGGCCTGAGAAAAATACTCCATCTCAGCATTTATCCTGTACTCTCCAAATAAAACTCAATGCGAGTTGTGCCTTTATAGATTGTGCTATGTAGAAATTATTTACCTATCAAAAGGCTTTCAGAACATCCAGTACTATGGGAAGGAGCCCACCCATCACCAGCATCTTTGTTTCATAAAATAAAAGCCTGTACTTACAAACTTGCTTTCTAGGTCCCAGCACCAGCAATCACTTAAATATCGGACACACAGTCCACGGAAAAAATCAATTAGCAGGATGCTCGCAACTGTGAATATCATGTCGATGATTGACAGCTTTAGCATCTCCTGTAAAACATATCATTCCAACATATTGAGTCATTCTGGAAACAAACTGCCTTGCATACAGCTCTTTTGCATTTATACTTGCATTTCATATTTTGGATCATGCTCAGTACCCTGATGAAGCATGATTTTATACAAAGTTTCCTTATATGCATTTCCTGTTTGACTTTACCCTTACTTGTCTTTGCTCTAATGTAAAGAACAAACATAATTAGACTTCGAGTGTGCCTTCTACAGTTTGCAGCAATAAAACTCTGGGCATGGTGGTCTCAACCTTTCTAATGAGCCTACTGAATATTTATCTAGATAGACAGGATGCAGCTATTTTCTCTATTGTACCCAATCCTTTGTTGTACTGACTCTTGAAATAGATACTTAATAAGTCCTTCACAAGGAGAAACGCTTGTTGTTCACCGAAAACCACAGCCCAGTGACAGTAGGGTCACCAAGGGCCACAGCAGAAGTCTGTTCAGTGCTTACAGATTAATGGGGTTGCTCCTTAATTAGTTGAGCCTTGAAAACATACAATTAAGTAGAAAAGATTATCTAAAAATAAAAACAAAGATCTCTAACCCATTCTGTAAAAGAAGAAAAGAAAGAACAGTTCAAAAAAATACCTGATGCCTGTGGAATAGGGAGGGCAGCAGGCAGAATAGAAGTCAGCCAAATAGACCTAGGAGGAAATTTGGCTCCTGACGATCAAACAAGACCTTTAATATTGCTCACTCTGGAACAATGAACTAAGCAAGCCAGAAATGTGCTAGCATCATTTTTCGTTTAGTGGCCTGGGCGCTGGATGAGTGCAGCACTGACAGTGACCAAAGTACATCAGGATCAAATGACAACCTTTGTAATATGCATTCCATTAAAATGCAATCTATCTGCATCACTCATCAGTAGAGATCTGCCTGTGCAGAAGACAGAGACTGAAGGCTGGCTAAGGACACTTGTACAACACTAAGCACATTGTATATACTGAACAACAAACAAAGCTCTTGTGTGGCCATATCAATCTGTGCAATCTTCCCTCTTTCTATACAGCCCTTAGCTAAATTTCTGGAATTTACACCAAGGAAACCTCTAAAACTGAACACAGTATGACATGGTTTTAAATTCTGGTGAAAGAGGAATTAGGAATAAATAGATTCAATAATATAACAGTGACATACTTGACCAACGTAGGTCTCCCAGCACTGATTCTGGGCAGAGCTAGAGGAAGCTGTGTTGTTAACCAGCGAATCAGAGGTTGGCAAGCTTTGAGCGTGAGATTTGTTGCTGTTCATTTGTGCATCAGAAATAGTTGCAGATAAATTGCCTTCTTTAGGAGGAGTTCCAGTTGCAAAAGAGGGGATAGAATTACTTGAATTGCTGTTAACCTGAAAAAACAAATGTCTTGAAAATTGCATTTTCACCTGTACTTTTTCTCTCTTTCTTTACACCTGCATACATGCAAAAGCCTTATGCCTTCAACAAGGCATATGTACACATGAAGACATTTCACATGTTTTCAAGCAGCAATTAGATGACTTTAAAGTAGCTGCCGAAGCACAGATGCAGTTAGAAATTTTTTTAGAACAGTGATAGAAGCTGATTTTAGGTCCAGTACCTCCAACTACCTAAAATGCTGACATTTAAGTAATTGAGGAATGCACGTAAATATATTATTTATTTCTCTACACATCAGCAATCAAATGGATCCAGTTATCCAAAAGACTACAAGTATTCATAAGTGAACACTACAAAATAAATGTCACAATCCTTTCAAATTGTAGTATGCTGTAATGCTTGGATTTCACACTAATTTTCACCTGAGTTGATAAATACTACGGATGGAATTCTTTCTGTTGTAAAGTCGACTCATGTTGCACATTAGCAAACATTAAACTTACACTGTCACTCATACTGTTCACTTTATCCAGGAGAGCAATGATCAAACTGTAGAGATTTCCCAGATAGAGAACAAGAACTCTGAAAACAGTAAGACATAGGTTATCGACATCCCATGAACTTGTAATATATTCTCCTGCCTGGTAGAAATAAAACACCAGCAGAACTTTCTTCTTCCTCCCTTGTTTTTCACATTCTTTCTACACTGTATCATGTCCGTACCTTGCAAGCTGAAAGCGAAGAGTGGTCCTTGGATGGTACATCTCTAGAGCTGCCACGAGTTCAAAAGCAGAGGGTGCAATCATGGTAATCAGTGACACAACTACGCTTACCTACAGAACAGAAAGGCACAGCACTGTTGTAGCTTCGCACGCTGATATCCTATGGTGCCATTACTGCTGATGGGAGTATTGCTGATGCATGTGCTTTTGTGACTGCTTTTCTTGGAGAATATACTTGGAAAAATTATCATTGGCATTAGTAATAACTGCAGTTGGGACCCAAGATTGAAGACCTGACATATCACTCAGGAATCTTTGCTGTAGATAATTATATTCTAGCTTTAAAGCTATTAGCTTATGAATATCAAAATTCACCACGTTGGAAATACAAAGAAAATATTGTCCTCTGAAATGGATGAGTCGTTCTCTGTACACATTTACTTCCTATTCTCAGCATCCACTCCTTCCTCTGAATAAAAATATTCACAGAACATGCAGTATTCTTCAGCTGACATCAATAGCCATTGTCAAAGCTGATTCCTTTCTAACAGCTCTTCCTAGCTCTTTAGCTCAGTGTTCACTCAGCTCAGTCATGGGCAGAAAAGAGACTTCAAACTTTGTCTTCATGAAATAAGAGCCCACTAGAACTGCAGTCTCAGAGCAGCTTGCTGCCCACGCCAGCTCTGCTGACACCTTGGTGCAGACAAAAGGAGCAGGCGTGCAGAGCTCCAGGTAAGCACAGCTCAGCACTCCCACTGCTCATTTCTCCCGGCTCATCGCTTGCAGTTTACACCTCAGTGCACACTATCACTACTGAGAGCCCTGAGACAACAATCCTGCTTCTAACACAGTGGTGACAAATATGGTGTACCTCATTTTTTTCCCAAAGGGTCAGTTCCCTCTTCTTGCTCTCTAACTTTTGGGATCGATCCACGACAAAGTAAATGATGTAAATACTTCCAGTGAGCGAGAGAAGCACGAGGATGTTTGCAATAATCCTTAAGCTGATTGTCACTGCCCTGAAAAACAAAAATCACCCAGCCAATATAGCAGGCTGCCTTATTACACCAGGGCTCTTTTCTAACATGGCTTTTATAGGCATGAAACAATCACAGAGCCCTGCTGCCTGCACTGAAGCAGTGCTTTGGAAAGTGCCTCCAATCTTACATACATACAGGTTTTTGCTTTTCTTCTTTTCCTGCTCTTCCAATATAGCTTCCTTGAAAGAAAAAAATATATATTAAATAGCATTCTGCCAAAATGATGCTAATCTTTCATAGAAGGCATCAAGTAAAATAATAAAAAACTTTCCAATGTTGATGCAGCCAGGTACCCCCCTGGACCATTTATTATGGAAAGATTAAATCTATCCATGCTTTTACATCATTAACATAATTTTTATTCTGTTCAGTGAAACTGCACCACAAGCAAATTTGTTTTTATTTTTTTTAGCTTTTTATCACACATATGGTGGCAATAAACAGAACACAACAGGGACAGAAGAGTTGTATTAACATAGGGACAGAAGAGACATATGAAATGGAGTGGCAGTGTCAGCAAGTGCAATGTGACTGCAGTACCACAGGGAGGTGTGATATCCTCCCCCAGGCAAATGTATCCATCGGTGAATGTCAGGAAACAAAAAAGAGCAAAAAGAAATGAGAGGAAAGGCCTATTTAATTTCTAAATAACCAGAAAAATAATTTGTAGAGGGGCGGATTACCCGAATGCTGTTAACTATGGCAGCCGCTTTGCTCTCTGCAGCCTCAGGGTTTCCTATTAAATAATCCCAGGCACAGAACAGCCTCCAACAGAAAGTGTAGTTTTCATCGGAAGCACTTGCTAAACTCATTCTTGAGTTCTTCGCCATTCTGTGAATAGAAAAATAAAAAATGATTGAAGCTGGTGTGTGAAAACGTATCTCAAATCACTGGGATGGTTCATAGTTTTCAGTTTCTTTTTAGACATGCAAATAGTTTGTGGCAATCAGTGTAATTGCTGGCAATTTTATGATGAAAATAAAGTGGGGTGAGGTTCTGAGAATGAACTTGATGTTTGCTCTTGTGCAGAAGAGACTCACTGATTGCATTTTTCATACCTGACAAATAAAGCAAGTATATCTCACTACAGATGTGAACATTTTTAAGATCACCAGCTAGGGTTCAGCTGGAAGATACTATAACACGAAATCGCTATTACTGTATGAACTGATACGGAAAAACTAGTGATCATGCAAAAGACGTGTTTTGTTTTCTGTTTATTTTTATCCTCAAAAATTATGTTATTGTTAAATAGAAACCTAGTGATGCTTTACAGACCCTGGGAAAAAGGAAAAAAAAAACCACCTAGTCGGCTCAGGCAAAAGGGCAGAATGTTGCAAAGTCTAAGAAATGAAATGAAGATTAATAGCTTATAAAAGGAAGGGCAGCCAAATGGACAATGTTATATGAGGAACAGTAATCAGGCAGGCAAGAAGTCAGTGGGCTAAATCAAAAAGAGAAAAGCTAATCACATCCTGAAACTGCAGATGTGTAAATCAGCATCAAGAACACCAGTGACCCTCAGATCAAGCTGGAAGGCAGAATAAAAATGGATGGAAAGAGAAGGATTGGTTTTGAAATGCAGTTATTACAAACAACACTAAAAATTGCATTAGACTGCACTATGCCAAGTAGGCATCCAGAAGGGAAGGGAAAGTGAACCAAGAGGACAGAGCGACCTCACTCCCTCTCGGCACTGCACATTCCTGGATTTTATGGCCAGCACTTGCAGTCTTGCTCTCTCCTACCTCCTGGCTTTCAAACAGCACAGGAATTAAGCTTAATATGAATGGGATGCTACCTATCAGCTGAAACAATGCAAAGGCTATATTGCTCCTATGACACAATTTTTGTATTAGTATTTCAGTAGGTGAGAACAGTAATGCTGAAAAGCACTATACTTAAAATCTATGTTTCTGTCAGAACAATATACTAGAAAAAAGCATAAGAAACTTGCACATCACGCTGTACAAATACAAACCACACAGATCCATGTTACCCTCCTTTTATGGAGTGGGAAACTGAAGGGAGAACCAAGATAAACATCAGCAAGACAAAGAGCAAGCTAGAAGTGAACTCCATCTGCATTCCTGCCATTAGCAGATGCAAACAGGTTAACAGAACCGTGCAGAATAAATGCAGAGGAAATGGGATAAGCGTGCCATTAACGTCTGCCTGAACATGCAAGCTTACGGATAGCCATAAATGAGAAATATTACTTTTTTAAGAGGATGATGAAGCTGTAAGCAAACACTGCCATGCCAACCAGGAAGTAGGCGAGAGGCAGCCGGTATCCTGCTTTCCCAATCTTCCTTTCTCTGCCATAGTAGCCATAAAACAAAACGGAGTACTGGAGGTAGCCCTGCAGAGACCAGAGTCTGTAAGAGCGGTAACAAATAGATACAACCAAATAGCAGTAACAGAACAATAAAGAGTGGTTTTAGCCTTGCCCCAAGTGACCAGATGGTGTCCAGGTCTTGTGCAGTTTTCATGTCTTCTGGGCGAATGGTTTTGCTGACAGTGCTGCCGAACGGTGCACCAGCCAGTAGCTGGGGAGAGGAGAAAAGAGGTCTCTGACATCGCATCAACCTGTCTGACCCACAAAGGGTCATTCCTTCTCCTAAGCTAGAAACTAAGCATTTTAAAGCTGACTGTCCATTTTAAGTATTTTTAAGTTACATATGACCGTGTTTCATCTCATTATTTTTTTTTTAATTAAGTCTACTTACAAAAATGAAGTAAGAAACTGAATACCTTTATCACTTCAATTTGCCCACTTTTTCATTTGGTGGCTTTTTGCATTTTGGCTTAGCCAACAAGAAGAAAAATCAGATATTTACATGTTTTGATGTAAGCATGTAAGCACAGATGTAATGTTCTGATGTAATCTGAAGCACAGATTGAGGTCAAATCCTATCTATGAATTATCTCACAAAGTTAATATATAGCCTAAAATTGCATGCAAGATCTAAACAAAATAATGGCTGTTCAAACTTCTAGAAAATAATTTCTAATGAACAACAATTTGTCTGGAGGGAGATGTTACTTTTTTTTCCTGCCTATAAATCACATTTGCAAGACCTAAGCATATTCAATACCAACTGCAGCTTTTAGGATTTGGTTCTCCATTTTAGTAATCGGATACAAACATATTCTATAAAAGCATTAGTACTGTGTTGACAAAATATAATCTCTAACACTAATAGCAAAATTATCCTTTGGCAGAAAAATGTAGAACCCTCTTAATAATGGTGTTTATTTTAATAATTCATTTGAAACTGTGCATTTCAAATTGATGTACGCCTTTAAGTGTGGCATTTGTTTAATTCAGAAAGGAAAGCACAACGGGTAAGCAAGCATGTTTCTGTAAATATTAGCAACGTGTTCTTACCTCTGGTAAGACTACAAATGCTCCTGTCATTATGGTAAGTACAATATTGATTCCAAACAGCCATCTAAGGAAGATGAAGTAAGAGGCAACTCCAGACCCAAAATGACCTCAAACCATAGAAAAAAGTTATCTGAGCAGCACAGTCTATAATAGCTCCCACTCTTTATTCATTAAGTATTACCTGAAATCTAAGCAAAAGAAAAACCTGCCTCATCGATGCAGTGTGAACAGCGAGATAGAGAAAACATCAACGTGTCAATGAGGAAAATATGATTATGCCCCAAGCTCTGTTGGATGAATCTGTAATTACCAGCAGTATTTACTCAAGAAGCTGCTGCACTGGGTGATGTAATGCAGCAATTCCATTTGCTGCGGAAGCACAGCAGCACAACCTAAGTGCTGATGTGATGTTCAGGGCTGCCTTGATTTAATCTAGGACTGCTGAGGTGCCTTCACACGGCTTGGTCCTGGGCTTGACCCACGGATGCTGGCCCACAGACTGTGATGAACTATAACCAAAGCTGCAATGGACAAGGCAAATTTCTTATTTCTATATTTACTAATTTTTTGGTTACTCCACACTAAGATCATCAATGAGATCTGTGCAGTGCCTAAGGCATCAGGAGGAGTAAAAAAAGTGAAGCTCTACATCAAAGTCATACTGTGGGTGGAAGGTCGCGCTTAACACTTCCTCCCAAATACTGTTTGATTCAGTAAATGCAAACATGAACCTTAAGACCCAGCATTTCATCAAACGCTTTACAGTTCCATCCCGTTAAATCCTTATACTTACTCTCAATTTTTTTAATTCGCATTTCCCAAGGAATAAAGAGCACCACAAAATTATATGCCAGTCGAAGAAACTTCCTCCAAAGCTGTGGGAGAAAAAAAGCAGAGAAGAAAAGAAAGGTGATAACTTTGCATGGAGAGGAAAAAAAAAAGGAAAATAAAGAAATGCAACAGTGTCTCTCATCTGGTATTGCAAGAAATACTAGCAGTGTTCTTTATCATCATCTCAGACCATGTCTGTGGGGTGGAGATGGGCACGGTGAGATTTAGAAATGCACAAGATGTGGGAGGGCTCCTTAGCTTCTGTTTTTATTAATAATATTATGAAGGGGTTTTCCTGTTACACTCTTTAATTTGTGCTTAAAGAAATAATACAGTTACCCTACACCTAATGAGTGGTGCTGATTAACTTCTGAATTATATCCCTTGCAGAATATCTTCAAGCAAAAACACACAGTAGAGACAATTAGATTAGATACAGACTCTAGGATGAAAGCCTTGATTTTGTCATAGGAAGAGGAATATGAACAAGAACGAAACCCAGTGTCTGATTTACCAACGCAGCCCCTTAGCACACTCCTCTTTCTGGTTGACATCCTAGTTCCACTGAAGTCCGAGACATAAAACAGTATTTATGTTTACAGCATCCTACTTCCACTGCATTTTCTACACACAAAGGCAGAACAAGGAAAGATGACAGTTATGCATGTGGCCTTTCATTTGTTCAAATGAATAAAATGCATGGTGTTCTGTTTTACCATTATAACCCTGACTTCTAGAATTGAAATACATTGCACTGTGAAAAGTCTACTCATTGTGATGACACAAATGTTATTGACTGCTTAGATGACCAAAGAACTCTTCTCTGTCGGTTGCATATTAGGAACAGTTTCCTGCATGTTATTAGTTTCTAGTAATCAGGGCCAGAGTCTATTTTCAATTGTGTAAATAGATTTGCTAAGATTAGATTCGAATTCTTCGAATATGATGCAAGCAAAATTCTTTAACAATGTATTTACAACAAGCTTTTGCAGGATTGTCTTCCAAACTAAAAGCTAGACACATTTTTCATGCTCAGCTATTGAACTGTGGCCCCATGGTCTGCTGAAATTGCTCTTCAGAGAATACTAACATCGTATCGTTAGTATCCCATTCCCATCACCCTCTCTGGCAGACATCAATATTCGTATGATTTGAGAAGGACGATTCTAACGCGTTAACACAAGGAGGTTTATCCCTCACACATCAAATTAGCCTGAGAAATTGTAATGACTAAATTCACAATTGAAAAAAAAAAAAAAAAGACAAAAACCAAGTTCTTATTTACTACTTCCTCAGTAGAGCTCTCAAGTTGGAAATCAGAATGACATAGAAAACATACGTGTCTGTGAATAAAAACTTTAGACGACTTTTGGTATGAAGAAGAGATATAATTTAAGAAAAAGCAGACATACCTCCGCACCAGCAGCCTGGTAACCTCTGGTTCTAGTGAGCCTCCCTTCGTACTTCAGCACAATCTCCTTTGCCTGTCTGCACAAGAAGGTGGAATTTTGCTTGACATTGAGCCCAGTGCTCTGAGCCTTCAGTTCTGCACAAGCAGCAAACAGCTGCAGCAGAATGCTCTGAAACACTGCCATGGATTAGGTTTCCCTATGAAATCCTTAAGCAGGCAAAGCTTTTTTCCTATTGAAGATTTACTGTCACATTAAAAACACTGAGAGCTCTGCCTGAGAAAACTTGACATTCAAAATTTTTATTGAAAGAAGGGTTGTCTGTTCATTTATTTCTTTTTCCTCTCTGTCCTTTTAACCCAATATGGCACAACCAAAATGCCTAAAATAAGATTGTCATTAAAGTGTGGTTCGTTTTATGTGGATACGAAAGAATTGCTCTTGCAAGATTCCAAGAGGTTCGTATTCATCTGATCCTACTGCTGCTCATACAGTCTTTAACCTCAGCAGCAGTTGGATGGGGACCACTGGAAACTCATAGACACAGAAGTTGTGGGGCAGCAGGAAGGCAGAGAGTCACAGACTGTGTAACTGAGGAAAATCATAGAATGGCTTGGGTTGCCAGGGACCTCAAATGTCATCGAGCTCCCACCCCTGCCATGGGCTGGGTCCCTCACCAGCTCAGCTGCCCAACATCCCATCCAACCTGGCCTTGGGCACCTCCAAGGATGGGGCACCCACAGCACTATGGGCAGCTGTGCCAGTGCCCCTGCACCCTCAAAACCTCTTTGCTTCCAAGATTAAACAAGGACTCTGCTGGGATTTCCTCAGGACTGTAATGCTACCCTAGCATCAGATGGCTTTTAAGAGAAAGGTGCCAGATGAAGAGGAAGAAAATAACGTGATCCCAAACATATAATGCTGTGAAAGACATGACAGAATTTAGTCCAAATGTTGGGCATGCACCCTTTGCACTGTACGTTTGGTGTTGTTACCTGAGCGCCCGCAGCTTCTGCCTCATTGGCCACGGCCTGCAGCGGATGTTGGACATGACCTCCTTCTGGTACTGGATGTTCTGGAAGACTTGCTCTGGGTCGTGGCTGTTAGCCTTCTCTTCACTGATATCCTCATCTGAGTTGCTGAACACCCCGCAAGAGGAAAAACAAGACAAATTATTCCCATCTAGATCCCCATCATCTGTTGGTTTGTGCAGTATCCAGTTCACAAGAACCACCTAACAGCAATAAGGGAACTCACAGAACCCTGTTGTTTCAAAGTTGATAAATGATCTGGATGACTTCCACATTGATGGGATGTGTCTCTTCCTCCCTACCTCTTGCTGCTCACTAACTCATCCATGCTCCCCAGCTGAATTTTAGTCTTTCCTCTGAGTGTTTCCAGCTTGTACATCATGCTAACAAGATCTTCCACATATTTTTCTGGAACAAAGTGCCATCACTTTTCCATCAGAAGTACTTAAAATTCATTTACTTTCCATGCACTCTCAGCCTTTATCTTTGATTTTAATAGTGATAAAATATTTCCGTATTAAAACAGAGAGGGAACAAAGGCTTAGCACATTCTGACCCTTTGCTCCTGTTCTTTGCTGATGGGGATGGAAGCACAAGACCACAGTGCACCAGGAATTAAATTGTAAAAATTACACGTGCTCTGATGTAGATTTCTATGGATGATTATTAAATCTTCTGATGCTGGCACCACATTCACTTAGCTGCAGCTCTCTCGTCCCATTTGAAACAGGGAATTTCATGTGAGCCAGCAGCGTGAACAGAACCAAACACCTCCAACATCAACCAGCTAGCAAGTTTTCCAACTGCATCTCTGAGTCTTCATTGGGAAAATTCTCTGCAATTTTGCTGAAAAAGCAACATCTTTGAATCACTTGGAAATAAGTCAGAACCTCACTATTGCCCTGTAAAAACATTTGAAGGATGCACTTGGCCAGACTGTGTATCCATCAATCCACATTCTGGCTCTACCCTCGGCTACTGTGGACATTCAAGGAAAATGCATAATACAAATGAAAGGTATGGAGATTTCCTATTCTGCTATTCTTTGGAATTACAGTGAAGGTGCTTATGGTGCAGCAGGGAGTATGACTGGTAGAAAGGGAAAAAGAAAACAGCTTTAAAATACATCTAAATATAGAGAGAAGAGTGATTCTTCTTTTTCATGTTACTGCACTCTAAATAAAAGACAGACAAGATCTCTCTTTTCTGCTCGATAAGGAAGATTTGCACTTCAGGAGAGAGGAGGATCCCTACCTGTGGGGCGGCTCCTGGTAGGTGTAGATGTTGGTGTGCCGCTTCACCATCCGAGACTTCTTGCTGGACTTTGCAGGCTTTGCTGCTGCTGCAGCAACGCCCGGTGCTGCTTCCATGGTGGCAGCTGCCCCAGCACCAGGTGGGACTCTGCCACGCTAGGAGGAAGCCTTGAGCCCCTGGCCGGGCGCCTGTGAAGCAGCCAAGTGTTACAGAGCAGAGAGCAGTGAGCAGTCCAGAGCCCCGAAGCAGAAGATCTCGCCCTGTGCTGCAGCAGTGGCAGGACCTGAGCCTGGAAGTGCATGCATGCCTTAAAGTGGCAGTGCACAGCAGCTCCCGCCAGGCTGCTTCTAAGGAAGCTTCCCAGGAGCAAGGAAGGGAACTGAATCCAAGGGCTTGCCAGCTGCAGTCCTTACTACAGAGCCAAGTTTCCCTTGTAACATGATGGGATCCCTCCAAATGCCATCCTTCCACCGGGCTTACCCACTCTGGGTGATGTTTCCACTGACATCATTGCTTCATATGTTTGAGCGAGTGTTCCTGCTGACATAAAGCAAGAATTGTTTGTATTTTGGTCTTTGATAACAGAGAAGATGCAACAGCAGTTTCCGGCAGGGCTTCAGGCTCTTTTCTGAAGGACAGACCCCGCACAACAGGGCCGCCTCTCAGCATGACCTGCATTCACCATGTCTGGATTTAAGACTTCTCTTTTGAAGGGATCAAAATACCAGCCCTTCAGACAAGCTCACACGACCAAGAAATTCACTTTTTGTCAACATCTGCAGCACCTTAAATAAGCTCAATCTCGTTACTTACTGCATAATTTTCAACATTTACTTTAAGGATGAGTTTACAGAGAGCATTCACTTATTCCTAACTTGGAATTTGTTTCCCTTAATATTTCTGTGCACAATGTGGCAAGATTTTCAGTTACATAAATCAGCAGTGTGTTGTAGCTCACTTTTATTTGCAGCCTTTCACAAGAAAGAACATTAAGTTCTCTCTGCTAAATTGCACAGGCTGCTTTTTTTTCCCTTCTGCCTTGAGATAATCAAAAATATTGCTATTTGCTGAAAACTCTTACTTTCCACTGTTATGGTTCTGTCTGTTGTACTCTATGTATTTAGTTCAATAACTCAGCAGCAACTTAGTAGTCACAAACCTTATTACTATGTAGGTAAATCTTGGACCAGAAAGAATGAGGCTTGTGAAGCCCAGAGCCCAGGTGTATCTTGTCCGAAGCCTTGCCAGAAACCTGGGACAAAGCAAAACAGCCTCAGAACAGTAAAGAAATGCCGTGTCCAGAATTCAGTGAAACCAGGCAGCTGTGCTCTGCACCACCCTTTTCATTCCTTCTTTTTGTTACATGCACATGGCATGTAACACAGCAAAAACCATTGGTAGAAACATCACTTCGCCATGTTCTATTTACAATATAGCTTTTTCCGTGAATTGACCTTGTTGATCCCAACTGCGTTCTGAACATCTTCTGTACACACTGCCCTTAGACACAACAGAGACTCCGGTAATCAGATTCCCAAGAAAAACAGAACATAATAATTTCAATTTTTCTGCGCTGCATGTTATTATTTTTCATAGTGAATCTGTAGAACAAAGGCCGTTAAAGTGATAAGCCAGAGCTCTATCTGTGTATACTTAAATTCACTAGCTTTTGGAATGGTCTTCGCTGTTTGGCTTCAAATCCACAGGACAGAAGAAACACCCTAATGTCCTTTCTCCGTGTCAGAGCATCCATCAAGTGAAAGCAAGCAGCCAAAAGGGGCGTCTACCAGCCCCGATTCGTATCTCCATTAAAGGGCTAATCACTTCTTTCCATCTGGAAAAACAAATAGGGGAACAAAGCCAGAATTTTCTCAGTCTGAAAAGCCCTTTAAAGCTCTGATATTCAGGCAGTGCTGCAAACACACCCACTTCACCACTGTTTTGAACCTGCTGCAAGATATGCTTTCAGCTTTATAATTTAAAAGCAATAAAATGTTAGTTCAAATTATTTCCTTGGTTGTAGAGTTAGTTATTTGCCTTTGCATTATGGCCAATGGCACAGAACTGGGCGCAAGATTCTGTTGCTGTGCTCAAGAGAATAAGTGAATAACTCTCTATTCAGGCCAGCCTGCTCAAGTCCATTAGTTTGGTGCTTATTCCGGTTATGTCTACTCATTGCTCTCATTTAGAAAATTGATTTTTTTTCTGTAGATGCATCATTTCAAGCAATGAGAAGTGGCGATGGCTCTTTGTCACCCTGTATCATACAGAAATACTATTCTGGGCCAGACAAGCAGAGCATCTAACAAATCTGTCCACCTTTCCACCTTTCAGGCTGACTGTGTTAAACCCAACTGTTTCTGCCTCTGCCTCACTGTTCCTACTTCCCAGCAGACCGTGGGCTTCCAATGCAGTAGTTTTCATCCGAAGGAGCCACAGAGTAAAATTTAACATCATTTGTAGCTCCCTGTGATTACACAGGTCACAGAGAAAGCAGCGTCCTTTTATATGATGATGGTATAGCACCAAAAACATTAAAATGCCAACATTCACAATTTATATGGATTTCAATTAGCTGAGATATCTTAACACGTCAACAGGGAATATATTAATTTACTTTCTCTTTATAAGAAGAAAGCCTAAAATCTTAAAACAAGGCAACAATTTAAGCCTGATGTTTATACGACTCTAATAGTGCCAGTGCTAGAATCTCATCTATCATGTGAAGTTACTACCAAACACTAAAAGCACAGTGAGCAGCCAGAGACTCAGAGCCCATCTGACAGAAGGATGCACAGGATTAACAGAAAATAGAAAGCAGGCTCCAGGACCTGATCTCTGAAGTTGGTGGCGCATCCTCCATGGCCCATCTCCCTCGCAATGGCTGCTCTCTAAGGAAGGAGGGATTCGCTCAGATCCGCAGCAGGGCTTTAGGTTTGCTTTTCAGCTCAGCAGACAGTCCAGCAGCCACAACACACAGCTGCCTGTACCAATATGCTCCGCTGAATCCTTAAACATACTGGGGTTTGTTTACTCTGAATGAATACTACAGTGATTATAAATTAGACTTCAATTGCCATTAAGTGGATGTAAAACAGGACAATAACCTTTTACTGCAAGATGTATAATAGCAGCTATCTGTGTGTAATAGGAAGTCTCATGTTTGATCCATAGGGCCATTTTGCATTTTCAAGCAGTTAGCCACAAAAAAAAAACAAAAAACACAACCCAAGCTGGTAAACGACAAACATTGAAAATTCAAGCAAACAAGCTTTTTGTGCTTGTTCACTCCTTTAGAGATTCACTGTAGACTTCCCATCTTTCCACCACTATAATTTAATTTGGACCTTTTCAACACTTCCCCACTTGGGAAATTCAACTCCTAATACTAAAGTGAAAATTCAAAAGTTATGAATGTTTTCAGTTACCTCTGTAAGAAGAGAGTACTGTCCATTGGACAGGACAAGAGGTTTTATGTTGGGCCAGAGAAGGTTTACTTCACCTGTTTAGCCCCTAAATATATTTAGAGTTGAGCAGATGGATTAGAACAAATGGGATTTCAAGGGTAACAATGCCAAAAATATTTTCTTCACTTACTGGGAGAAAATTGTTCTACTGGGCTGTACCAAATCAGTGCCTCCCCATGAGTTCGTTTGCACAGCTTTATTTCATACAGTAGGTTTACTGTTCAGCTCCTGCTAGTAGCCCTGGCTGACATGTATCACTCTTGGATGAAGGGGAATACTCTCACTGTGGTTCAATTTTCTTGTGAATGCACATGCCACATAAAAAAATCTCTCATTTAAAAAGCTTCCTGTGTACTTAACTGCTCTTACATCATCATAATAGGACTATTTTTATTCATTGGGTGATCAGGCATGACTTCTAAAATATACATTGTGGTGACAGTACAAACCACAGCAGCGTAAATCAAATTTAAGAAACTGTCAAGAACAAAATCAGGCAAGTGCTTACACGTGTATTTTACAGCCTAAGAATGGCTGAGGACAGAGGAATCAGCCACACTCAGGACCCATGGTAGGGTAAAGCACAACCCATCAGCTTTTACAGCCAATGCAAGAGATGCACGTGGTCTGCAGCACAGCCCCTCTCTGCCTGGCACTGCACCTCTAACTTACAGCTTTCTACTTTCAAGTAGCAAAAAAGTCAGTCACTAGGAACTAAGAAAACTTACTTTTCAGGTGCAGTAGAATGCAGCAATTCCTTCGATGAGGGAATCTGTACTTTTTGCAGCTTTGTCTAACCAGGAGTATGACGTGCATCCTACAGACATATTCATTTCACCAGAGACCTTTCTGAAAGCACTGTAACTAAATTATTTTCCAGGCTTACGTGAGTCATTATAAGCCAGACCTTGGGAGTCACTGAAAATACAGAAGACAATTTTAGAACATTTAAAATAATAATAATAATTAAAAGAAATCACATTTCAGGAGAGAGGAAAAGTAGTTCAAAAAGTAACTGAATAGTCAGGTTGTTGGTTTGGTTTTTTTGTTGTTGTTTTGTTTTGTTTGATTGAGACGAAAACCTTGAATTTGCCCAATTGCTTCTAAAAGTCTTTGGGAAACATGCTTTTCCATTAGATTATCTCATCTTGCCCGAGATGAAGACATGAAGAACTGTCAGTGTTTGACATGCAGAAATTTTGTTTCAGTTTAATCTGGTTTTCATTGTCCTCTAAACATTAGAATACAGTTTTGCACCATTTCTAACATTCAATTTTGCATTCCTTTGCAATGGGATGAAGCTCTTCCCTTCTTCAACTAGGGAGACCTGAAACAGAGCAGTTTTTCAGCAAGCACAAGGGCTTTGGAGCACCTTCTCCTGGCCCCTCAGAGATCAGAGCTCACACACACACAAAAAAAAAAAAAAAAAAAAAAAAAGATGAAATCCAGGTAATTTAAACTTATTGCATAAGGAATGTTATTAATTCTATTGCCAAATCACCTAGAAGGTCATTTTAGATATTCTGTATGTACTAACAAATGATAATCATCTGCCCAAGGAAAAATCCCAATTCAGCACCTCTTCATAATTCTTCTGAGAATCCCGTCTCAGCCTCCACCTCTCAGAGTAGCTTTCAGCAGATCAGTTCTTTGATTCAGCCACCATTCAGCAGCACAGTTCTTACTGTGAGTTGCAGGAGAGGTGATGAGAACGAACCAGTAGGATGAACAGAGCTGGGAGCGCTCATCCCTCTCCACATTATGGTGGATTTATGTCAAAGGAAGAATAAGCAAAACATGCAAATCACTCACAGCTTTCAGTGGCCAACATGCTCATTTGTAATAGCCTTGTGGCCCATTTCTGTTTCTCAGCAAATGAAGCATATGGTGAAAATACAAGGAAAGGCAGCCAGAATATACAGACTTCGTGACATTAAGCCTGGATTCAGAAACTCTACCTATGCCAAGTCCACAAACCATCTCAACGGTACATAATGAAGACATAAAACATCCTTTGCCTGGGAAACAAATCTAGCTTATTATCTCTAGATGTAATTTAGACCTGGCTGGTGATGAGAGGAACTGGTAGCATAATGATTTATTTAGAAAAGTTTTCTAAGGAAAAAAAAAAAATAAATCACATGTGGCATTAAGAAATATATTACTTAAAAAAACTGACGTATACATACACCTAGTATCGCTGCCAAAAAGGAAACTTGGAAAGCATAATAAAACAAAATACCAAAGCTTTGGAGACTTCAGAACATTATACCCTGGCACAAAACCATTCTTAGTATCTCTACACAAAGGCAGCATGCTACAGGCTAAACGTCATTGTAACCCAACCAGATTCACCATTTCTCCTTTCTCGACCCTTAGACACACCTCAATTTATAGGTATAATGGCGTTAAGATTGATGTTGATTAAACATAGCAAAGCATTTTTGTTTTACACAGCCTCCAAAGTGCCGTGCTGCTTGAGCTCACTTGTGTTGGTTGACCTTGGAAGTAGTTGAGTCATGGGCAGTTCGAGCTGCAATCTCAACAACCATCAAATCATATACATTGTCATGGTCTTGTTATCTGGACTTTGTACTTTCCTACCATGGAAGAGTTTTCACATACATTATACAGGAAATGAAGCAAAATGTAATTATAGCATTCAACATCTCCAAGACAGATAGATAGCATGAGGCATAGAACAGAGTTCAGCAGTCAGCTTTCAATAAATCTCACCAGGTAGGAAGGATCTGAGTGCAGCATACATCACTAAGTCACCTGCTTCAGAATTGTATCATTATCTCATCACAGGAACAAGGGGTTATAAGGTTATTGCAATTTCAAACAATCAGCTTTAAGCAGGTTTCTCTAAGGGACTTTCATTCTTTACTTTTACACATCTTCATTTGGGTTTTAACATATACTACAAAATTCTATTATGTCATATTAAATTGAGTTATCTCAATGAAAACATTTCTACTAAGGTTAACCCGGACATTTAATTCCATTAGTACCAGTTTTTCAACATAACAACTTTTCTCATAATAGCTTTTTATTCTCAAAAGGAAAAGACACAGCTACAGAGCTTTTGAATGTTCTGATGTGATTGAGCTGAACAGACGAAAGGTACTATAATGAACAAAATCACATATTTGCCCTTGAATTCAGCAGATGATAAATCAGGCACACAGCCTTTGCATTAAATGTTTGTAACCTCCTTTCTAGACGAGAGCACAGACAACTGTCACATTTTCAAGGGGAGATGTTTTCTTCATTCATTTCTTACAGGATAAAAGTCTTGGGATTTTGGCATGTTTGGATACGGGGGAATCTTCACTGCAAAAGAACAATAAAAACAATGCAAAAAAAGTTATAATATAGTTGGAATCTCTGTTTCAAATAATCCCAAATAATCTTTTCCCCCAAGGACCTCACGATGCACAAACCTGTGCCTTACGCTGCTACTAAATTTAATATTGATGTGCTTATTATGGAGGTGGAGTGAGTGTAAAGACTCTCTCGGTGGTTGTGATTTTTCCTCCCTGCCAGCACACATTAAAAATGCCATTTTTCTTAAGTTTATCTATTGCGTTCACTGCTCCCATGGTATTTTTATATGTTCAGTAGGTGAAATGTTTTGAGAAAGCCCCTTCATAGACACTATAGGCTTAGCTAAATTACATACTATGCGATACGTGCTCTACAAATGCACATAGGCAGACTCCAAGGCTCAGCTTGTGCAAAGCAATTTAAGCCTTGGTGAAAGGACTGTGGATCACAATCTATTATTACTTAGTTTTTCACTGATGTTGCACAGCAGAAGTACAGTGATCAGCTTCATATTTTGCTCTCCTTCCCCTTTTCCTTATGATGGTGTGATCATGAAGTCCTCCTGTACTCACAAAAATTCATTTTCACATATTTTTTAAAAAGCCTATGTTCTTAAAGTCTTAAGATACCCAGTTCTCTTTATAATTCAAGAATATATACAAGAAGAAAACACAGAAATTGTATAAAAGGAATTGAAACGTTTTTTTTTTTTCAGTTTCAATTACATAAGTGCAATTTCTTTATATACTTCTAAATCGTCTTAGTTGTAACTAAGATTAAGTTTTGGTAACTGGTTTAAATACCTAAAGAACTAAGCTGAACCAACTCCAGGTTAGGGAGTTATTTAGCTCAGTGTGTGCAATTTGTACGTACATTTAGACCTTGAAATTTGCATTCTAATTTAAAGCACGAGAGAGAGTGAGACAATATAAACAACAAAAGTAACCTTAAAAAAAAAGAAAAAACGAAAAAGAACATGAGCCAGAGTTAGTTCTTTAAAAGTAATTAACAAAAAAAAAGTCTTACTTTTATCAGCAAAAGGATTTTCCTTTGAGGCTTTGCTTCCATTATCGCACAATGAATCTTCCGACATCAGAAAAACAGATGTTCACTTAAGTCTGCACAAATGCCAAATGCTCTTTGTCTTAATATCCACTCTGGAAGGACTTCTTTGTTAATGAGGACAGATTAGCAATTTATTAATGCTCCTGCATCTGCTGCTGCTCCTGAGTCTTTCCCTTCAATGTGGTCCAAGTCAAATGCTATACAAAATGAGTCTGAAAGAAAGCAAAGTATATAATGAGCTTTGTACAGGCAGAAACCCAGTGAAGAAACAGGGTGAGGATGGTGTGCTGCTACGGTTTGTAAATGTAATGGTATGTATCTGAAGTTGATGTGCCTGGCTATGAAAAATAGACCCAGGACCCCTACGTCTGTATGCACCAGTAGGCTAAGCACAACCGTCATGCTGGAATTTGTTGGTCTGAATTAAGTGCACTGGTAACTTCACATTTAAATGTAGTCTCCAGAGCTGAAAAAACAGCCTGTGGACTCAATTCTCGCTACACAGACAGGGACAAAACCCCACGTAAAGAACGGAGTTTCAGGGGGGAACTCAGAGGACTTGGTATCTCCCTCTTGTCCGAAGGAATCCGGCAGTCAGAGCTGCACGCTTCTTGCAGAGAGAGCAGAAGGCTCCACCGTGTGGTCAGCTTGGTTCCTTGTCATTATCAGACACTGACAATCACGGCTATTTAACTAAATCGGTGTAATTCGGGTCTAGATGTCCATCCTATAGCAATGGCCTTGGCTCACATAGACTTTACTGATGCCATTCCTTCTGTTTTTCCTGTAACTTGCATTGCACTTGTGATGTTTCTAGCTGATAAACAACTACATCTACTTTAACTGCACACTGGGATGCAATGATGGGAATCTAAGAGAACACCAGGAATACTAAATTCACATGAATTAATGTGGAAGTCAATAAACAATTAAACCCCTACAAGAAATCCAGATCAATATTTAAAACTTAAAGGTTATCCCTCAAATTCAAAAAAGAAATGGTGAATAATTAATTAGGGGAAAAAAAAAAAAAAACACCTGAAGTTTGTAACACTCAGGATGCTTTTATTATTTGAATACCTTGTATTTACTTTATATTCTTCCTCAGCATAAATATTCCATGCTCTGCTAACTACTGAGTATCTGTAGATGTCTAGAGAGATTATTAACACATATCAATGGGAAAGCTAAGTGATTGGATACTTAGGCTGTGATTCAAAGTATGTTGAAGGCTTTCAGTAGGTTTTTTTTCAGCGCTCTCTAAAGACTTTGAAAATGCTGTAGTGGGACCAAGGAGACCCATTGTAAAGAACTTGAGAATATTATCACCATTTCTATAGAATGAGAATTCCACTTCCTATTATACCCCTGTAGCTGAAAAGGTGGGAACACAGTGCAGCTTCCTTCAAAGTCTTCACACACTCCTACCTGAAGAAAATTCATACATTTATCTAAAAAACATCATCTGTGGAAAGGTAAAGTTCTCATAATAAATGTTTTTGGAACAAAAAGAAGTATCTGGTTCAGATGAGTAATGTGTTTTTCACATTTCCTAGAAATACGTAATGTGACTCTGTTGTCTGACTGTCATAGAAAACAATTCTTCTTGCAATGATGAATAATACAATGAACATACTGTAAATGCCAGAACACAAAATCAGCCAGGAATCCAGACCACATTATATGCCACGTTCACAGAAGATTCTGAGGAAAGTAAATGAAACATTTATAAAATGGGAGAATAAAAATGTCATTTCAACTGACAGAGCACCTTTCTGAAAACTCCTTTCTTGGCTGCTATTTTAATTCACTGTTTACATACTGTGGAAAAACTTATTGAAAGGAAATGATAGATCAAATATCAAGTGGACATTGGAATAGATAAATAATGCAAAATATATGTTTCCAACTACAAGGTCCAGACATTTAAGCTGCTCTGTTTAAGAACAAGAAGCTAATCCGATTTTGTTTTAATCTGATTTGGAATTTGTAACATGACCTAATATGTAGAAACCAGATCAATGAGATTAGGAATCTACACCTCTCTAAGGAAAAAGAGCCAATAGAATATTCCATAGACATACACAGAGACAAAACAATTGGAATCTGAGCGGAATGTAGCAAATCAAGATTCTATCATTTGAGATGACAAGCGATCATTTCCTGGAACATTTAGCATTAATATGATTTGTTGTAGATCAGTCAGGAGTCAAGAATACCTGAAAGGGTATGGCTGATGCCACTGGACGACAAAACTGCATTTTAGAAGAAGACTCTTACACATCTATTACTGACAATGCATTCTCACCCTGGCCAGTGCACAGAACCCAGCAAGAATTTCAGGAAAGGAAAGAAACGGCATCAAAACAATTCCTGAAGTATTTGTCTCCTGATTAGGGGAAACGTCCACAAGGTAAGATGTTATAAAATTGGGAAATGTAGCAATTAATCAGCTACCAAGCAGCAACAGGAAGAACAAGTGTGACATGCATCATGTAAGACCTGATGCTGGAGCTCAGTTCTGGAAATAAGGAAGAAGTTTCTTACAATAAGGGCGGCGAGGCACTGGCACAGGTTGTCCAGAGAGGTGCTGGGTGCCCCATCCCTGCAGACACTGCAGGTCAGGCTGGATGAGGCTCTGAGCACCTGATCAGCTGTAGGAGTCCCTGTTAGTGCAGGGCAGTTGGACCAGATGGCCTTGAAGGGTCCCTACCAACTCAGACAATCCTGTTATCCTATGATTATTAGTTTTCAGGATGTTACAACTCAGAACGACATATCCAAACCAATCTAAAAACAACTCCTTTGTGAGACCATAATGATAAACAGCATGTTGTCATCTCTAAACATGCCAGAAAGTCCGGATATCAGAATATCTAAAATCCCAGTTAGCTGTGAGATTCACTGGTAGCTTATGAGCCATCAATGTTTCAGCAAATATGAAGATGAATTATCAATTAAGACAAATTATTGAGAGGTTCCTAGGAGCAGAAGTTACAGGGAATCATGGAGGTGCCTGAAGATTTTATTTCAGTAATAAACATCTGTCAAAACCCAAATAACCATGTCAATAATTATTAGATTCTTGGTAATTAAGCTTTGATTCAGCTCTCAAATCCTATCCCACATCTCAGATCTGTTTGACAACTGCTTAAATCAATTTATGTTGCTTTTTTCCCCAAAGGTAGATGGTTTGGCTGTTTAATCCTTTTCACTGCAAGATCATCTGTAGGGAGTAATTGTCACTGAGAATTAAAATGAATGCAACAATAAACTGCAATTTCCTGTTCAAATAGCAAGACAGTTTCTTTCATTTTAATTCTTTTCTCTGTACTTTCTGAATCATAGCCAACAGTGCTACTCTCAGTGGTGGACCAAAGTCAGGATGAACCCAAGAAGGAAGCAAAGGGTGGAGCCTCTCCAATTACCCATCTCTCCATGATTTTCTGGTCAGGATATTCTTGTGGCAGTCTTTTGCCATAGCCTCCCAAGACTGTGCACAGAATCTTGATTTCCAGTGCATGAATCTCTCCCAGTGATAAATAAGGGGTATATTTAGAATAAAGGCATGAGCCACCACCAGGAAACCATTTCCACTCTCCCTATCATTGAAGGAAATAAAGAGATGAAACTGAGGATGGAAATCAGAACACCACCAGCAAAAATCATAGAATCATTATAGTTAGAAAAGACATCTAAGATCAACCTTCCACCTACCACTAACATTGCCCACTAAACCCTCAGTGTCACATTCTCAGAGTTCTTAAACACCTCCAGGAACAGTGACCCCACTACCTCCCTGGGCAGCCTGTGCCAATGCAGCATCACTCTTTCTGTGAATGAATTCTTTCTAATATCCAACCTGATCCTCCCCTCGTGCAACTTGAGGCCATTACCTCTCACCCTATCACTGCTACTCAGGAGAAGAGGCAAGAAAGAGAATAGCAGTAGGTCAGCTTGCTAGAGATGTTGAGGAGGTTCTCTTAAGGAATTTGAAGAAAAATGATATTCCTTGTATGATATTTCTTAGAGAAGAATTCATTAATTGAATAATCTGCACCTACATTCCCTTGATAGTGTTGATCAATACCAATCTGTTTCCAAAGTAAACTTCTTTGGTCTCTGCCTTTCTATGAGCTGAATACACAAAACCCTCAGGGAAACGAACGCTATTTCTACTAAGTGAGCATCCTTTGTTTTGCTGGTTTGCAGAACAAAGTGCCAAGAAAGAACGGAGGGGAAGAGAGTAAAGCAGTTATGGAAAGAAAGGAAATACCATCCCCAAGTTGAATTTAGCTGGTTGAGTTGGCAGGATAGGAAGAGTAAGGGTATAATCAGAGAGAACGGGAAAACAGAAGGCATCTAGTTGATGGAAGCATAAAATGGACTGCCTTTCAGCCTGTCTGTAATGCTATTAAAGCTGTTAAGTAGTTGTCCTTCCAAAGCTCCTTAAGGAAGCCTGCAGTGACTCTGACAACAGCTCTGCAACAAAACAGTGTATGGAGCTTTCTATGAAGCTGAGGATTCATCATGCCACAGGCTTTCAGCTCCACAGCACCAAACTCTTCCTGGTCAGCCCATGGCAGCTCATGGGGTCCTGTGCAGGGCTGAGGCCTGGAAATTGCACGCAGCTCCAGAGCAGTGCATCCCTGGGGTGATTAGGGGGAGAAATGGCACGCCACAAGACTCTGTTCATTCTGACTCAGTCACAATTTGCTGAGGTGAGGAAATAGAACTTGCAAGCTGGCTGTTAGCAGCAAGTCACTGAACAGTGAACATGCCCAGAATCCCCACAAGATGGCTGCAGAGACTGCAGCATTGCAGTCCCAGTCCGAGGGCTGGAGGCTCAGGCTTTGAACACACAGATCTCACCGAGATTTTTCAAAACCCTGTGAGGAAGGATGAAAAATTTAAGTGAAACAACTCTTCTTGAGGTACTTTGTTTTGCTTTCGCCTCACATTCAGTTTTAGGTTATTATATACTGCATAAACATGTTTCAAATCATCAGCATCACATTGCTTTTCTTTCTACTTTTTTAAAGGAAATGCTTTTTTTAGAAGATCTGAAACCATTACACTTCTTTCCTCTGCAAATAAGCTTGTTCTGTTGATTGCACTGATTGCCAAACCTGTCTTCTTTCTTGTATTTGGCTGTCATTTAGCTGTTCTTGTTTATCACCCATGGTCAGTATAGATGAGCTATTTCTTTGTA